GAGATTAAACAATATAAAAAGTTAAAAAATTAATAAAAAAATTATATTTTACTCATAATTAAATGATTTTTTATATAATATAATGATGGCTATTTTTCTCATCTTTTTAAAAATAAAAAGTATAATTTATACAAAAGTTATTAAAAACTTTAAACTAATCGGATCAATGATTTTAAGTTAGTGGTCTAATTGTGATTAAATTGAGATTAACTTGATCATAATTAAAATAATATAATTTAATTAAAATATATAAAATATTTATATATGACCATGATAAAAGTAATATTTAAACAATTAATATATTAATTTACAAGTAAATGAAACATTCATGAATAAATTACATATAATACATCAAAACAGTAATAGAGTTATTTAAATACAAATTTGATAAGTTATTATTTTTTTATTTTATTCTTTTAAAATTAAAATAATATTTTATGCTTAAAAAATTATTTAAAAATTAAAATTGATTCAAAAAATAAATAAAGAATATTTTAAAAAATTTTCAGGTAGTTGAGTCAGCCCGAATAAATTCGAATGTATTAGGGTTGGGTTTGACTATATCAATTTTTTAAAAAAAGTAGGATACTTTAAATTTGATCTGAATAGTTGAATTGAGCCTAACTCGAATAAACTCCTGCTCGAATTACTGACTCTAGTTAGATCCCTTCATTAATAGATTAGTTTCATAAATAAAAAAATTCATAATTTTTCATTGAATTAATTTGAATCATTAAATTATGTCTGAGTTTTGTTAGTTCTTTTTTTTGTTTGCTAAAAGCATTTGTTCTCTTTCAATAATACACAGTATTACACACATACACATACATAAAGAATTGAGCTATTTTTTAATGTTTATCTAACATTTTAATTATAATCAACTTTCTTCTAAAAAATAAATGAATATTTAAATTTTAATTAATTAAAAATTAAATGAATTAATTTTTCTTTGAAAACTAATAATACAATTACATCATGCAGCAAACTACTCTAAAATACAATTGGAACCAAATTGATTTAAAATAGAAAATTCAATTAGTTTTAATAAATTTTCCCAGAAAATTCTTCTAAAGATGACTCTAAGAGAGGCTGGAATACATCACGAGATATGATACCTTAATACAACAACATCTTCAACAATAATAAAATTCTTATCATACTGACAGTGAAACCAAACCTATTTATAATGATTAGGATAAAATTGTACTATTTTAAAATGTTTAGGGGATTTATATAAAAAAAATTTCAGATGCTAGACGATCCAACGCGAATAATTCAGGGACAAAATTATTCTTTAACTCATAATAAAAAATGCATTATTTTGTCCTCATCATAGAACGTAAAAAATTTCGCACATCTCTATCCATTCTCCAACCTTTTGACGATTCCGAAGAATAAATCACCATTATAGAGGGGGGGGGGGATAAATCATAAATTTACGAGATTGATATTAATGAAGTTCATAATTATCACTCGCCCCATAGTTTTCCTAAAAGTTCAGATATCTTATATATAAATAATTGATATAGATACAAAAAAGACATACACAAAAATTAAAGAAAAAGGCAAAGATCGGGTTTATTCAATCAGTGAAAGTTGGCAAAAAAGTAAAATAAAATAAAAAATTAGTAAGAATTTACATAAAATAATTCAATCAATATAATATATTCTTTAAACCTTAAATTTCATCAATTCTGTTTTAAAATTTATTAAATTCTCAATTTTATTCATATTAAATATACATAATTTAATAATATTTTTTTCTTCAACATTAAATGGAGGGTAAAAAAATTTTTTTAATAAAATTTAATAATATAACTTATAAATGAGATAAATTTTTTTTTCTTTCTATCCTATAAATAGGATTAGAGAGAGTGAATAGAATGAAAAAGCTTAATCTAACCTTGCCCCTTGCTTTTTCAATTTTTTCATAAAATTCTAACAAAAACCAACTCATTGAGGATAATGTATATATACACCCAACTACTTCATTTATTACTTAATCTATTCATTTGCCCCTTTTTATTTAATCAATAAAAATGTATTTGTGTAGTTACATAAGACAACATTCTTTTTTTTTTAATTGAATATAAGACAACATTCTATGGCAGCAACACCAATAAAGAATAAAAAATTAGGTATGAATAGAACAAGAGAAGAGGGATAAGAGAGAAAAGAATTATAAATTATAAATCCATATAAAAGTAATCCACACCTCTTTTTTATTTTATTTATTGATTTTACCAATTGAAATTGAATTTCATTTGTTGATTAGGATTAAATTCTACAAAAATGCCTACCTTTTTTGAAATATCTTGAGCATTTTTGATAGGTTGAACACATTTTTTTTCAAGTAAATATAAAATAACAAGGTCAAGAGTCTCTAATGTATCTTTTTTTAATATTTTCTATGTGACGTCCTGTGTTTATCTTAACTTCATTTTTTATCTTTTTTTAATCATTAATTTTAATATAAAATAAGAGACATTTTGATATTTTTAAAGTTTCAAAACAATAGAATTTTGTATTTTTTTAACAATTTTTCAAAGATAAATGCATGCAATTTTGATTTAAAAAACCATAAAAATACAAAACTCTACCATCTCTTAACATCAAAATGTCTTTTTATTTTGTATAGAAGTTAATGATATATGAAAATAAAAAAAATAAAATTAAAAAGTAGGACATAACAAAAAACATAAAAGAAAAATACATTAAAAACTCCTAGCTCATTTTCACAACAATTAAAAAAACATCATTAAAAGAGGTATAACCCATATAGTTTAATTGGAGATGAGTAGTGAGATCAAGAGAGACCACAATGGAAAAAAGAACTCAGGGCAAGATGGATGTGACCGCCAAAAATAAAAAAATAAAGAAAGAAAAAAAAAAAGATGAAACGGGACGGACTATTCATGACCCTGAGACCCGAAGCCCTTACCCTAGAGGCTTTGATGCCATATTAAATTAATAGTGGCCAAAACACATTGGGAAATACTCCCTTTGATCTTTACTACATTCTTCATCTGAAATTATAAAATATTTTTAAATAAATTTTATATATTAATAAATTTTATTACATATATTTAATAATTTTATTTTTTTAAGATAAAAATATAAATTTTTAAAAATACTCATCATTTAATATAATAAAAAGAGAAGGAATAAAAATTAATTATAAAGAGAGAAATGATAATATTAAAATTGTAGCATTTAATAAAACTTTAATTTATTCAAAATATTTTATATTTTGACAAATAAAAACTCTTTCAAATTTGTCCTATATTTTGAGACAGATAGGGTATAAGATACTTTTAATCATTTCATGCATATTAAAAAAATTAATTTTATTTATATCACAACAAAGTAAGATGTACTTTTATTTTTACTCTTGACTTTAAATAATAATATAATTATATTAAATATCTTTATATTAATAAAAGGGGTAAAATGAAAAAAATGGTTTAATTATTGCAATGTATCATATATTTTAGATAAAAAATTATCTTTAAAAGATATCATATAAATAAAATTGAAGGAGTACATGTTATAATTGATAATTGATAAGCAGCAAACAGTACAATGCCTTCAATCAATATTTATAGGCAACATATATACGGAATGAATAATATAACAAACATATACCATATATTTTAAAATAAACATAATTATCGATCCTTATAATTTTATAAGATTTTATTTCTAATACTTATAATTTTTTTCAATATTTTTAATTTTTATATAAACTCAAAATACTGAAAAAAATTGAAACTATAAAAACTTGAAAAACAAACACCGTTAATTTTTCTAAATTACAGGGAATGAAAGTAAAATATTTTCCCTATATTTTTACATAATTTTACATATTCTCAACGGAGGGCCTGCTACAATAAAACACGCACACGCACACGCACACGCACACATTATTTTTCTTCTGAAACCTCTAAAAATGACAATTTATTCATCGTTCAGCGCGCTTGAAGCCACTGACATCACGATTATTAACTTGGTGAAGGACTGAAGGCGACACTGCAGATGAGGGTCACATCGTAGGACGAGCCTATGATAGAACCCTAGCGGATTGGTTACTTGCAGACGGCGGAATTTCTGGAAAGAATTTCCGTCAACGACTACCCCAATTAATTTCAGGTAAATCCAACAAAATTTTAAAATTTTAATTTAATCTAAATAAAGTTAAAAGAATTTACTGGAAAAAAATTAAATTATCTTTAATTTATTATATAAAATTATTAATTATTAATTTTCTTTACTATATTTATTATTTTTATCGACAATTAGTAATATTAATAATTAATTTATTAACTTAATTTATTAATTTATAATTGATATTGATAAATTAATAAGTAAAGTAGTAATTTAACAACTGATATGTTATTATAATTGAAAAAATAATATCAAATTTTATATAATTATTGATATATTAAATCGTGTAATTTGTAATTCATATTCGTGAATTAACAAGTAGTGTGAGAAAATTAACAACAAATATTCTGCATGATAAGTTAATAGTATTTTATTTTTTACTATTAAAATTTTTTTAACTTTCTACCTTAAATTGAACTGAAATTGAAAAAAAAATTAAAACCACTTAAAATTAATTCTCTACAATAATCCTTAACTAAAATTTTTTCCTTTTTTTTCTTTATTAAATGGAAGAAAAATAAAAAAGAAAGAAAATTCTTAAAAGTAATAAAAAATTATTATTTTGAAAAAATTTTCCGCCTAGTTTTCTTTTCATCTTCTTTTTCCTTTCTACCTAAATTCATTTCTGCCTTTTCTTTTTCTCCTCTTTAGTTTTCTCTTGGGATTAGGCCATTTCCAATCCTCCCATCGCCGATAAAACAAAGGAGATCTTGGAAGAGGCAGCTTATTTCCCAAATGACAAAGTGGACGAAATGTTTTCAATGCTTCCATATATCTACGATAAAAGACTCTCACATGTAGCTCTAACCCTTGCTCGCAATGATCTTCTTGAGCACCACTTATGAAAGAGTATGATTCTGACTTGTTTAACCCAACCTTGGCCTCTCCATTGTGGTAACCTTGAATACGGTTAGACTTGTTGCTGTTGTGATTATCATCTTCTTTCACTTCTAGCATTGATTCCGATCCTCGATTATACTTCAAGACTATAACCCAAAAATAGAGAAACTAAGAAGAAACTCCGAAATGAGGATTTAAGTGATGATGAAGAAATTAATAATCAAAATAGAAGAAAAATATATGTAAGGGAGGGAATTAGGGTTACGGAGAGAATCGCCGATCTGAAACGATGAGTGGTGGCCTAAGTGGAAGTGACCGGGAAGATTCATTGTCTCCGACCAAATACTTATAAACAGCACAGGTACGCCACCATCCACATTGATGTGGATCCAAGTTTCTAAGTATGGCATCTTTTGTTAAGCCTCCTTCTAAGTGCTAAAACACTACATTTTCCTTCTCAATTCATAGCCTTTGGGATTTTAAAATATTGTTTCATCAAAACTCTAAGGAACACTTAATATAGTTTTGTAATTAACTGATAAAAAATTCCAAACTGATGTTCATCACAATACCTTATGGTATATTGATTTTTTATAACTTTGGTCCAATAATTACTAATTAAGCAAACCGGAAAAAAAAAAGGTAAAACGGTTTTATATCGCGCTCTCTTGCAACTCTAACATACGTGTGGGTGCGTTTAAACTTGAAACACGCTCGCGCATACACACACACACTTTTTCATGTATGTTTTATTTGTTTATAAATGGAGTATATATTTATATTTTAATTAGGATTGAACAATTTACTAAGATGGTGAGTTGAACAATTTGGCAAAACGCGCGCATGCATGCATGTATGTGTATGTGTGTGTGTGTATATATATATGTATATGATCAGGAATAACAATAGATACATAAATAACCTTTGATTGCTTTGGTTGCTTCAATTTTTTTAATCTTTAAAGATGTAAAAAAAATCATAGAACACATTTGACTGTTTTTGATAAATTAATAAAAGAAGAAGTGGCTGGTGGAAAGTCAAACTTAATAGGGGAAAAAAAGGAAAATCACTAAGACGTCTCGTAGTTTTAATTTTCAAAAAGTGCCATAGAATAAGAAAACAACTCTTAAGTCCTACAAGCCTTGATTGTAAATGAATTTTGAAGTACATCTATCAAAATGCCCTTGCCAAAAAATGACCACGAGGAAAGATTTTTTTTTAAAAAAATAAAGACTTTTTAATAAATGTACACCAAAAACTTATTTATAGTCAATGCTTGTGAAACTTAAGAGAAGTTGGTAGCTTTGTGCGATTGTTTTTAAGTTTTTTTTTTGAGGTTTCCCCTTGGTTTTTTCGAGTTTTTACACTCTTTTTTATTTGGTTCGAATGAAGTTTCTAGTTCACATTTAAAAAAAAAAATTCAAAGTTGTTTCATAATTCATGAGACCTTTAATTTAAAACTTAAATTGCTTTTGTGAGACCTTTTAGTAATTTTTTTTAAAAAAAATTCAACCAAAGAGATCACACATGATTTTTGGCTTGTAATTTGTAACAAATGTTAAGAACACGAGCTGATAATGGGTAAGGTCACAAGTAGCCTGTACCTACTCATGAACAACCTTATCTCTTGCATTAGTCTTTTGATGCGTTTGATTGATTTTTTGCTTGGACATTGCCAACAAGAACGTTTGCCTTGAAAGTTACTCCTTCCAGTTTGCTTTATTAGTCCACTTCTAGAAGGTATACTTGGTCCACAATATTAGTCACTGAAAGACTAGGACTTTGCATTTCAAAACAAAATTCCTAAATACCCATCCCACTTTACATTGTTCACTATGTCTTTGTTGATCAGCTGGCATGCTCTCTTTCTCTCACTCTCTCTTTTGCTCATCTTCACTCACTTTTTGTCAATTGCCTTTCTACTATCGAGCTCATCATTCCTCTGTCGTAATTCCTCTTTTGTTGTTATTCGCACAAGTGTTGCCGATCAATTTGTGGTTTGAGATATCACTGGATCTCGCCGTTCAAGTCCGATGGAAGAGCATTTTGAGGGTCTGTCATGGGATCAACTAATGGCATGTGTAGTTGACGATTCTCTTACCAGGGAAGAAGATTTATGCTGCTCAAGTTCTTTGGAGAGGTAACCTCTCTGAATCAAAATATTTTTGAGGGCTCTTCATCTAAATGATTCTTCCTTCACATCTTCTAACTTTGTTGAGGTTATGTGTGAGATGAAAGCTCACTCGTTTGATTTGAATGAAGAGGCAGTTGAGGATGGTGAAGAATGAGCAGCAGCGATGGTGGTGGCGACGCGGTTCTAGGGTTCATGAAAGCAAGTGAAAAAAGAAGATTGTCCACCCTTTTGACCTAAACAAGTTCCATTCCTAAAGGAAGACTATACATATTTGACTAAGGAAGAGTAGGACCATAAGCGATTTGTGTATGATACTTTGCATTATATGCTTTGATTTGTCTCAAATTTATATGCCTTTGTGTAATTTTAGTTAGTCTAGAATTTAAGCTTATGTTGATCATGATAGATGTTAAGCTCACAATCTATTAGTTTAATGGATGATGATATTCTATTTTGTTAATCTACTTCTACTCTCTATTCTGTTAATGTGATGGATGATGATATTTAAATATATCATTGTACTTGAATCTGTTATAGTGAAGTTGGTACTTGAAGTTGTTCTATGTTGAATTCTTGTTTAAGCCCTTGAATATTAGTTCTACTTTTAAACTCGTGATCATACAAGTTTAAATTGAGCTCATTCTTCTGAATTTACAACTTGAGCACAATTTGTTCTATACTAGATTTACTTTAACCTCAGCAATTTGTTCCTAATTCCTACCTTGATTTCTTGTTAAGCCCTTGAGTCTCAGTTCTGTTTTTAACATTGTCACTGATTAATACACTTGTTCAGATTTTCATCTATTTATTAAATCAACTTAATTCAATTGTTGGCACGAATTAATGTTCTCTTGCGTCACTTGGTTCA